AGGTTTTAGTAACAATTTTTTAGAATCTCGTGAAATGAAAAGTGAACTATTTGTTGTGCATGAAGCACTGAATGAACCAATGATTTCATGACCATAGCTGATAAGCTATTAAAATAGATTTAAGAGCAAGTCAGCTGGTTAAAACCAACAGGTAAGTTAAAACCCAAAGTCTGTATAATTGTCTTCAGCAAGCCTAACAGAAAAGATGACCCTTGACGGAAGTGGCTGGACAACAAGTTATCCAGGATTTATGCCGATCCCAATGATTAAAGATAGAGGCTTTTCAATTAGTTTTTCTGTAGTCACTGTTGTATCATTGTCACAGCCCACAACTAACTGAATTTTCATAAAATATTTTTATCCTAGCTCCAGAAAATGTGTTACTGGAAATCAAAGGCGGACCTACCGCCCAGCTAGGGGTGCAATTGCACCCCTAGACATTTATAATTTGCATGTAAAGTCACACAATTTTTACATCCCCCACCCGCCCAAAATTTTTTTTAATTGCACCTCAAGACCCAAGCAATCTAAGAGCACTAGATAAATTAGTAACAATTTGCATTAGCCCATTGGAAAGTAAAAAGTACATTTAAAATTTCAACAATAAAGCGTACTAAGTACATTCTCATCATGTATTATAATTTTATAATATTATATTTTTTGTTTTAGGCATATAAACACTTGTTGCCTGCCCCTCCATGGAAAATTTTCTGGACCCGACCTTGCTGGATATTGCTTATATATCTAGAACAAAGTGTTTTTAAACGTTTACAGGGAGTTGTTGATACTATAAACTTCTCCAAAGTTTCGGCTGCCCTAACTTGGCACATCTCCACACTCGAGAAACTAAACATGAGGTAGTGGTCAGATCAATGATATCATCAAAACATTATTATCAAGCAGGGTAGATTACCTGAGTTAGAGTAAGTGTTCGGCTCTGGTGATTCTACATAAATTTTTTTCAACAATTTGGGGTTGGCTCTAGTATGGTTATATAATAATATATATAGGCTTAAGAGGAACTTTATATGCAAGGTAAGTGACAGGAAAAGTAAATTAATTGAATGGATAAATACCCATCTGCCCAGTTTTGGGTTTCCAAATAACTTCAATGGATGCTTTCTCAGGGTTCTCTCCCTTTCTCGTCCCGGCTTTGGGCCCATACACAGCAGCCAATACAATCGTATCCCCTGAAAATTCGAGACGAATAATTAACAGAATGAAAGGGTATAACCCCACCAAATTCCTACACATTACAGCAAATTACGCGCATTTGGGCGAGAATTGACGTTAATATGGAACAGATAAACTAAAAAGATAAAATTAGGGTTAGGGCTAGACCTTGAGACCAACGAGCTGAACCATGAGCTCGGTGAAGGACATTGCGAGAGCAAGCCAGAGGTCTCAGCTGATTAGGGTTTCTGCCGTCCAATCGATCGACCTCCATCGTTCTAACGATGCGCAACGAGATGCCCGATGATCAGGTTCGAAAAAATGATCGAGCTTCAGAGGGACGGTGATCGTTGGAGCTTAAGCAAGCGTCGAGGCAGGTGACGTTGACGTCGACGAGGTCGGTCGGACTCAATTATCGTAAATAAACAGTTAACTAAACGCTAGATCTAGGGCGAGAACTACTGCCGCAAGCACCAGATCAAAATAAAACCTCAAAAAGCAACCGAAATCAAAGAACAATAGCGTCAGATACCTAAACAATAGTCAAATCATCGATTCATTAAACCCCAGATCTGCACCAAAAGGTACGGCAACAAGCACGAGATCAAAGCAAACTCTAGAAAATCACCGAGACGAAAGGGTTAAAGTTCCGGTACCTGGCTGAACTTGAGTTGGTGCTGCTCGTCGGCTAGCTGGAGCGAACCGCTGACGAAGACGAGCTTGCCGCCGGCGGGGTTTTGGTTTTGAGATGGCGGAAAGAAATGAGAAGGCCCAAGGGTTTTGGTTTGAATCGGATCAGGGCAAATGGGCTTCGGGTTTTTGTTTGAATCCGATCAGGGCAAATGGGCTTGGGTTTGTTTTTTTGGAAAAGCGGGCAAATGGGTGAATAGAAACCGCCCATTTAGTATAGTTTGGAATAAACACATCCGATTAGACCCATTTAACTAAATGAGTGGGTTTTGAACGGGCCAAGTGATAGGTAGACCAGGTGGGTAAATGGGCAGGAGTAAATATTATCTTCCCTAGTTCGAAACCCTTTTAAAATTAAAACGGCTAAATGGCACTTAAATACCCTATTGTTTCATTAAGGTTACATTTAGATACTTTAAGTTGTACAAAATAGCATAAAAATACATTGAGTCGTTTAAAAATAGCACAAAAATACCCTTAGTTGTTCAAAAGTAGCACATTGCTACCTTCTGTTAGTTAGATGTTAGAATATTCTAAGGAATATTCTCATATGCTTAGAACTTGAACCTATTTGTTGCTTTAATTACAATTTTACATACCACTTCAATTTATAATCACCATTTCAATGGAGGGTATTTTTGTCAAAACAGATAGTTTTTAACAGTGTTAATATGATTCTAACGGTGAACAACTTGAAGTATTTTTGTGCTACTTTTTACAACTCGGGATATTTAAGTATAAAGTTAGAGAAAAGATATGATATTTAAGTGCCATTTACCCAGTTAAAATTACAAAAAGAAACCCATTTTGTTTGTGTTAGTACTAGGGCTTTTTTGATAGACTAGTCTAGTGCACGTGCACTGCACGTAATTATATTTGTTCATGTCCTTAATATGTTTCGTTGATAGGAAAATGATAAAATTATATAATGCAAAAAATAAAGATCTAAAATAAAGAATTAGAAAGAAATTTTGGTCATTCTAGAGTAAAATCATGCATGCAGGAATAAAGATTAGCATAAATACATCATTAGTTGTTATATTTCTCAAGCTGAAGGATCCAATAGTGAAAATGATAATATGGATATGTAAATCTAATCAAGGGCACCATATAGTATAAACGTCCATATTCTTCATAATCTGGTGATTTAGGGAGTAGCAATATTAACACTCAAATTCAAAGAATAGATAATAGAAAGAGAAAGGTAAACTTACTTGTAAGAGAGAACATGAGCTAAATTGCCTTCTCTACATTGGAAATTCCATAATATAGAAGAAAGTAATGAAAATTAGTTAATAACTAAAAAATAAAAAGAATTAATCGATTGACAAACAAGAAGCTTAGTTTATCAATAACCTCACCAACAACAAATTTTGGAAAATGGTCATTTTGATAGTACTCCCTTAAATCTTTAGTATTTTGAAACAACCCCCCAAATCATTGATATTCCATAATATTCCTTAAGTTATTTTAAACTTAACCCTCCAATGATTGAAATTGCTAATATGTTACTCAATCCATAAGTCATCTTAAACTTAAAACCTCAATCCAAAACATTCACCATAACAGAAATGTTAATAACCAACACTTGTTTATCAAATAACCCAGCAAGTTCAACGTTGTCCACTTGAAAAAGCTAAGTTCCCAATAAAAGCTTCAAATCAGACGAGAAGCTTGTCTCATCACTACCCACAACCTCTCCTCCTACTGATCGTGATTTGATAATATATAATAACTTTAATTATCACAAACCTTAAATTAAACTCTCTCCATCTTTTTCAAGCGCATTAGCTGGAGAAGTTATCACATGGGGCGACTGATGTGGTCAAAGGTGTTAGCCTTCTTGTTTTGATGATGTTTAACAAACAATTTACTTCTAATGTTGTTTGTCTAGTATTTGTGTTTTCTTATTTATTATAGACAAACAACGTTGTTGGAGGATGGATGGAATCGAGCCTTAACGATCATATCAAATGGAGGTTGGCGGAATTATGGAGTGAAGCAACGTTAATTCAAGTTAAAGATCCAATTACAAGCTTCTTCCGCAAAGTTTACCAAGTCATGCTCATTGAAGACCTTCATCAAGCTTGGGTAATTTAGTTTAGGAGTTTATATTATGTGTGTTAGTACCTTAAGCTCAATTATCTATACACACACATTTATTGGTTTCTTCGTATATATATAGTCATATATATATATATATATATATATATATATATATATATATATATATATATATATATATATATATATATATATATATATATATATATATATATATATACATATTTTATTAAGTCTATATAATCATTGTGCAAAGTTTCAAAACATGGTTTAACCAAAATATCAAATTTCACATGTTTACATTTTCGTGTTTTGAACTATTTTACAAAATGATGATTTTTCACAAATGAGAAATGCAATTTGGAAAATTCTTTTTGTAACATGTTCACTTACATGTTTATATACTTTTCCCAAAGTTTTATAATTTTTGGACTTCATTTGTTATTTAACACATTTTTAAAAGTCTCAAAAATAGCTTTAAAAATATGTTTTGAGTGTATCAGATTTCGATCGACCGCACCGGTCGACCGAACCTGAGTTCATATGCTCACTGGGCGACAGAGAGTCTGTCGGTCGACCGGTCCAGTCGACCGATGAAATTTCCAGTCGACCGACGATAGCTTTTTCAGCTTCCAACGGCTAGTTTTTTTACCGTTACTGGGGCTGTTTCTGTCTTTTTGCTTGGGGTTTTTGGCTGAGTTGTGAGAGGGTATAAATACCCCATTGCCTTCAACTCTCAAGCTAATCCAAGAAGTTTTTAAACAAGTTTTAAACAAGGGTTTAAGTGTGTTTTGAAGATTGTTTTACAAGTGGAGAAGATCATTCACAGTGTCTGAACTTCATTTCAATCCTCCTCTCCATCTTGTTTTTCAGAGAAGAATTTCTAAACTCTTTCTAGCTTTACATTTTGTATTGTTTAATTATCATTTCTATTAAAGCTAGTTTTATATTGAGTTTAGTTGATTTGATTTTATCTCATTGTTACACACACCCACTTGAGCTTATTGTATTTACATACATAGTATATTAGGGTTGTGAGAGATTATAACATTGAGTTGTGCTTAATTGTGTTTTCATCTATTGTAGAGAACGAATTTATATTTGTTACATTGTGAGTGTTGTTAGGTTTTCGGTGAGCTAGAAACCAAGTGTGTTGTGAAGTTTTCGGTGAACTAGAAAACCGAGTGTGAGGAGTGAACGTTGTTCGGTGAGCGTTGAAAACCGACACTGTGAGATGTAAACGTTATTCGGGTGAGCGTAGAAAACCCGGTTATGATAGTGGATTTCTCCCCGGGAGAGGGGAGCGGATTGCATTGGCGTTCTTATTCTTGTTTTCATATCTTATATCGCCTTTGTGTATTGCTCATCATATTACCCTATCACTTGTGTAGATTGTTTATTTTACCCTTGTGTTAGTTCATATATCCTTGCTCATATATTTGTAATATCTCATTGATAGGATATATTCATTTGTTCATATTGCTTATCCTAGCTTACGTATCTTGTTGTATTTTATACTTGCTAGGATAACCTATTAATTAGTTTTAATTGGCATTTAATCGGATTAGATTAGCATAAGACCCAAATCACCCCCCTCTAGGGTCTAACAATTGGTATCAGAGCTTGGTGCTCTTTGATTTAAGGTCTAATCGCCTTGAGTTAAAGATCCAAGTTATCTTTTTGTACTAATCTTGCTTTGATTGCATTTGTATCGTGCTTGCATATTTTTATAAATTATGGATATGAATGATGTATCTTGTTTAGGCTATGATTCTAGTATTGCTCCTAAATTCAATGCTTTCCCTTATGCTCAATGGTGTTTTAGATTCAAAATATTTGTTCAATCTAAAAATATCGATTTATGGGAAATCATTGATTGTGCTTATATTGTGCCCACGTTGGAGAAATCCAAGTGGAGCAAACATGATAAAAAGATGTCTATTATGAACAAGCTTATGTTAGAATTTTTATTAAATGCATTTGATTCATCTATGTCTAACAAGCTTGATTCTTTTGATAGCGCTTATATATTATGGAAATTCATAGAAGCGCATCAAGGAGATTTGGAGGCGATCCGACAAGCTTTGGAGGATCTCGCTTCAAGTTCAAAAGGGGCATCATGCACACGACCACTAGGCGATAGCCCTAGTGAGGTTTGCGAGTTCGAAACCAAAATTAATTTACCTAATGATGAACTTGCTTGTGCTAGTGAAAAATTATTACATGCCTTTAACAAATTGCAAAATGATTTCATTAATTTACAAAGAAAGAATGAAATTTTGAAATCCGATCATGAGTTGTTAGCATCTAAGTTTGAAACTATTTCTAATGAAAATGTGATCCTTAAAGAAAACAATGAAAAATTAAAATTGGATCATGTTTCTTTAACTTCAAACGTTGCTAGTTTAACTCATGAAAGAGTAGAGAACATAAAGAATGATACAGCTTCTTTTATAAATAACTATTTATGTTCTACTTCTAAAAGTGCATATGTGCCTAAAAATGAAGACTTGAATCTTATAAAAAAATACATTTCATCTTTAGATTCAACTTTGAAAATATGCATTGATAACCATAAGAAACTTATGAACAAGTGTGCTAAATCTAGTGCTACAAAATCACCCACACACTATACACACTTGTATAGCAAAGTTTACAAATGCTCCATTTATGGTCGTAAAGGCCATTTAGCTAAGTTTTGTTATGATGCACACAAACTTAAGAATTATAATGCTCCTTGTGCATCTCATGTAGCTTCTTCATCTTGTACACTTACACATTCACATGCTCATTTTCACAAAGTTCATCATAAGCATGCTAGTGTGTTCAAGTGTGATCATTGTGGTCGTTTTGGTCATTTGGCCAAATATTGCTTTGATTTGAAAAGAAAATCTCATTTGACAAATGCTTCCAATAGACCACATTTTTTAAATGTGATGTTTGTGGTAGGTTTGCACATCTTGCTAAATTTTGTTTTGATATACAAAAAGCTTCTAAATTGCAATATGTTTCAAATAGACCATTGTTTAAGAATGTTTCTCATTT